TTCACCCCCTCTCTTGGTTAGTTGTTCTTGGGCTTTTAAATATGAAGGACTATACACACCAGTCAATGTCGAAGGATTGCAGTATTGCCCAATGATGCTACTGAAAAATCTCAACAGCCCTCAATGCCAGTAGCGTTGTCCGGTGCATCTCCTTCATCGCTGGTTGTCTTGTCGAAGATCGGAGAGCCCATACCAATGGAGCCACTGAGGATCCACTGCCTCGACCAATTTATGGTAAACAGAATCGTCGGAGATCCTCGTATTGAGTGAATGGATTAGGTTGGATAGGGGTGAGGTGGGGGGAGAGAGAGAGAGAGAGAGAGAATAGGTTGGGTGGGGGTGAGCGATATATGCATATTAGGTGTAATTAAAGTTTTATTAATTTTAATTATAACACCTAATTAACACCTGATTTGTGAAAATGAAACGCAATCCCTTGTTTTTTGAAAATGAGTCTTTAAATGTAGGTTTATAGGTAATTTTCTCTTAAAACTATACTATACATTTATGGCTAGGTCACAAATGGCTCGACCTGTCTAAAATTCTGATTCTCTACGAATTTAAATCAAAGCACTTAACAAAATACAATAATGTACTTGAAACTTTTTGAAGTGTTACACCGGTCGCCTTAAAGCCCCATGTAAGGCTTTTTTTTTTTTTTCTCCAAGGACAAAGTAAAAACATGGATGTTTCGAATCTCATTGTTAAGGTAGTAAGAAAACTGCAGTCCACGTCCATCCTTCGTTTTCTGCAGTTGAACTTTGACTTGGATGTGTTTGGCAGATATAAATATTCAAAAATTCAAACTTCAAAGGGGTTAAGGACAAGCAACCTTTGATGCCAAGAAATTTCCTTAAATGAAATTCCACAAAATAGTGCAGAATTTGGCATGAATCAATGGACAAGCTGATAAGAGAGAGCAATGAGAAAGAAATTATATTTTCATGTACAAAACTGTGTTCTTTTGCACGTTGAACAGGACATAATCGGACAAATAAATATTTTTACACGAACTTCGTCCATTTATCTTGTTCATTATACTTCGTAAATGGCTCTCGTGTTGTGATTTGAGGTTAATCCAAATTTTTTACGTATCCCCTTAAAAAAACCTTAATTATATAATCAAACACGTAAAATATACGTATCCATAAGTTACTATTAAGATGTCAAAAGGATAGAAAAACATTGGAGACGTGTTCAAAACCAATCTCCTTAATCAAGTTGTCTTACCATACATCAATTAATTAGTCAATACATATCCAAAATTTTTAATTGAAAAAGTTCAATACCTTTTAACTAATAAATAAAATAATGAGAAAATTTCCACGACCCTCCATATAAATACCCAATTTCCCTACATGAAACTCCACATTGTTGCTTAGAAATCTATTACGTTGTACAAAATGAGACATCTCAATTGTATTGTGTTAGTAGTGGCAGTGTTAACCATGCTTCTATGTGTCCATCATGGTAAAAGTAGTCAATTATTGAGTGATCAAGAGACGAGATTAAAGAAGAGAGGCATTTTTCTGCATGCACTCCAGAAGGGTCCTGTCCCTCCTTCTGGACCATCAAGTTGCACCAACATCCCCGGACGTGGTGGCTCCGGCTGCTCAATCAAGGAAATGCACTTTGCTGGTGGTGTCACGCGGCCTACAGCCAGGGGCGGACCCAACCGTTTTGGGTTGTGGGGTCAAAAGTTTAATACATCGTATCTTTTGCTATGATCGATCATTTCGCACACTTAATAATATCTATTCGTTAAACTTAGATGACATGTTCGATATATTGTAATGCATGTAAAGGCACGTGCAAAACTTTGATTCAATTTTTAGTATTCTTATTCATTTAGTTGTTTTATTTTAGTCATTGGAATTTATTATATTTCTGTTACAAGTTTATGGACTTAATTTGTAATTTTCTACTTAATTAGACTTGCATTAGGCTGTCCGGGAAAGAATTTCAAGTTTTTGGATCCTTTCTCGGTACTCTTTGTAATGAGTAAGTTTGTCGATCCAGTACTCGTTTCTGTTTTGCTTCTCACTCCATCAAGCTGGGCCATTAAATGAGATTAATTGTAATAAGTTTAGATGATTTATGACATAATTAGATGCTAATTTTGTTTGTTAGGTAAAACTCGACGCAAATTGGTGGAATTGAAAGAAATGAACGAAAAAAAGGACAAAAACGAAAGAAATTTAAAGTTTGAGGATCAAAGTGTAAACACTCAAAAGTTGATTCGGACCGTAAAACAATAATTAAAGATCACATATGATCAATTGAATGCAATTTGAAGGCAAAGAAGTGAAATATAGTCGAAATATTTTCACAAATTAATTTCCAACCGAAAAATTATGCTCCAAATTTTTAGTTTCAACTTGAGATCCATTTTTCGGATAGTAAACGTTCAAATTGGAGAAATTGTAAAAAAATTTCAACCATTTGAATTATCTTTTCAACACACTTTGAATCACCAAAATAGAATATCGGGAGAGAAAGTTATGATCAAAATACCGAAGACGGTTCAGGGACGATGAGAGCCAAACTGGCTCACGCATGGGCTATTTTGGCACCACGCAATACACAATTTTCATGACCCGACAGCCATTTGGCTCAAAGGTGCACCCAATAGTTATGTCGGTGCGCGCGTGTGGGCTATTATTATAGATGAATCAACAATTTTCTTTCGCGATTTAAACTCCTTTAGAATTCAAATTGAAAGTGATTTTGACCTATTTTCTGGCTCTTATAAATACAAAACAAGATCTACACACTAGAGAACTCTTTTTTGCCTCTTCATGTACAATAATATTATCAAATTCATCAAAAAACAAATTGTAAATTCATTACTTGTGGGAGAGAATATCAAGCTCTAGCGAGGAATTGAAACCAATTACATCAAAAAATTGAAAAATTCAACCTTAAATTTGAAGATTAAGATTTTTTGCTTTCTTTCATGATTCGAGTGATATATTTTCCATTACTTTTCTTGTAATTTATTTAAAACCATGCTAGACTATATTCTTTTTTGCATTGGATGAATATGGACCCTATTGCTTTATTTTATTTTAATTTAAGACTAGTAATTTAGTTTATTTCTCACATTTTTTGATTTATTTTGCATACATATTTCATTATTTAATTGATTAACCACCATAATTAGTTATTTGTTGTAGTGTTGAGAAACACGCAATAAATTTAAAAAGCAGCAAAATTAACATATGTGTAATAGATGTTAGAAATAACATTTATCACTTATGCAATCATATCGACAATCTAAAATTTAATGCATTCTATCCATTCGAATTTGGGTTAAGAATAGATTCCAGTTGTGGTTAGGATAGAATTAATTTGTCTCCAAAAAGAAAGTTAAATATATTAACTTTATCGATTGCCTAGAACACATGAGTGAAATTAGATTACAAATCAAGAATTGAAATAAATAATAATATGTAGATTCTAAATCCAATACAATCATCAATAATTTGATATAAAAATACTTTTTACCGCTTTCTTAGATAATTCAGCTTAAAATCAAATCAAAATCTCTCTTTTGTTTTACATAATTCGAATTCCATACAACACTAGTAAGTTTGAATTGAATTTATTCCCTGTGAGACGATAATCTCAATTCAATTAATTTATTAATTTCTCAACGAACCTGTATGCTTGCGAAATTTCGGACTAACAAATTTTGATGTCGTTGTTGGAGAATAAAATATTTAATTTGAGTTTATATAGAATTTGAATTTTATTTTAGGCAATTAATTACACACCTAATCTTTATCGTTTGTCTTTTAGTTTACGCAAGATTCAGAAGAAATCGAGCTTTTATCATTGGATCTAAAAATCGAAAGAACTTTCACATAACGAAGAAAAAACAGAGAAAAGCAAGAAAAATGGTAGAAAATCAAAATCAAATTCAATTACCACCAGATTCCAAAAACAACAAGATCCACAAAGAACAGTTGTCAACAATGGAGAAGCTCTTAGGTATTATTTGAATCCCATACCTGCTCCTGTACAACCGGCTATTATTTATCCACCTTTTGGGCAAATCAACATTTTCATTTGACCAGATTTCATCAAGTTGTTTCAGAATTATCATGATATTAGGTTTTCTTAAAAAGCAACTAAAAATCATCACGAACATCTTCAAGCCTTCTTAATGCTTTGTGAGGTGATTAGTCACAAAAACCTATAGCTAACGCTTTTCAACCGCTGACATGATAAAACTCTCAATCTCTAACGTGTTAAGAGAACCTTAGTTATGGTTCTCCCATGTAAGGTTTTCTTTTTCTCCAAGGACAAGGTAAAAACATGGGTGTTTAGAATCTCACTGTTAAGGTAGTAAGAAAACTGCAGTCCACGTCCATCCTTGGTTTTCTGCAGTATAATTTTGACTAGGATGAGTTTGGCAGATATAAATATTAAAAAATTCAAACTTCAAAGCGGTTAAGTACAAGCAACCTTTGATGCTGAGAAATTTCCTTAAATAAAATTCCAAAAAATAGAGCAGAATTTTGCATGAACCAATGAACAATCTGATAGGAGTCTGGCATTGAGAAGGAAATTTTATTTTCATGTACAAAACGTGTTCTTTGTGCACATTGAACAGGACATAATCAGACGAATAAATATTTTTACAAGAACTTTATCCTTTATCTTGTTGGTTATACTTTGTAAAAGGTTCTCGCATTGCGATTCAAGGTTAATTCAAATCTTTTACATATTCTCTTAAGATCCCGTTAAAAAAAAATCTTAATTATATAATCAAACACGTAAAATATACGTATCCATGAGTTATGATTAAGATGTCAAAGGATAGAAAAAACATTGGACACATTGTCAAAACCAATCTCCTTAATCAAGTCGTCATGCCACACATCAATTAATTAGTCAATACATATCCAAAATTTTTAATTGAAAAAGTACAAAACCTTTTAGCTAATAGAATAATGAGAAAATTCCCATGACCCACCATATAAATACCCAATTCCCCTACATGAAACTCCTCACCGTTGCTTAAAAATCTATTTTGTTGTATAAAATGAGACATCTCAATTGTGTTGTATTAGTCGTGGTAGTATTAGCCATGCTTTTATGTGTCCAACCGGCTGAAAGTAGTCGATTATTGAGTGATCAAGATATGAGATTAAAGAAAAGAGGCATTTTTCTGCATGCACTTCAAAGGGGTCCTGTCCCTCCTTCTGGACCATCAGGTTGCACCAACATCCCCGGAGGTGGCGGCTCCGGCTGCCCAATCAGGGAAATGCACTTGGCTGGTGGCGGCACGCAGCCTTGAGCTGCTGCCGATTCACAACCCATGAATTTATTTGGTG